TCCGGTGGAGCGCTGCTGCCAGCTTACATTTGACACCGCTATGGCTCCCGCACTAGCTCTCTCTTGCTCACTAAACAACCCTACATTGAGATCTACTTTTGCAATAGTTAGATGAAACAATTGCAACATACGACTAAAACAGATAAAACATTTGGAACATACAATTGCAACAAAGTCATTGTAACAAATGCAACATTCAGATAGAACACTTGCATCATACGTCTGAAATAGATAAAACATTTGGAACATGTTGTTGCAACATATGTGTGAAACATATCCAAACATCCAGATCAAAACGCTTGCAACATACGTCTAGAACAGATAAAACATTTTGAGCAAACGCTTGCAACATGCCTTTGAAACACTTGCAACATATGCAACAAGTGCAACATCTCCGATCTACTTTTGCAACATCCATAACAAACAACTGCAAAGTACCTTTGAAATGGCTGAAACACCTGAAACATACATTTACAACATAGGGGATGTGAAGCCTGAGCCGGTTGATTCCAGACGTCGGGGTCATAGCCGGCAGGGAGTGGTGGCGCACGAGCACCACCAGCACCCAACACCACCAGCACCAGCCTTGGTTCAACCTGGTGGACAGCGCGTGCTACAAGATGGAGCAGGCGGAGCGGCGCACGGCCAAGGTGAGGAGCGAGGTGCTGGTGGGCGCGACAGGCGGGGGAGAAGAGCGAGCGGCGTAGGTGGGCACGCAACGGCTGGACAACGAGCAGCGAGTGGTGCAGGGTCAGGGTGCGGTGGGAGAAGGCCGAGCAGAGTGAGCGAGCGTTGTCCTGATGAGAATAAGAGATGGAGAGAATTAAAGTTGTGGTGCACGTCACGCCACGCGTCCGTCCGGAGGGAGTCGCTAGCGTCGGACATCATGTTTGTACCATTATAATTTTTAATATAGCACCTTGCGTATGGATGCATACTCATTTATTAGTTTTGATTATGTTTTATACTAATTTAAAGATATTCTAAATCTTACTCCAAAGGAGCTCACATTTTTTAGTATATTATTATAATGTTATAATACCATAATACTATTATATACGATAACCATATACACTATTTATACTTACATACTTGATGTATATATTATTTTATAATATAGTCCATATAAATATAATTCGTTGGTGTATACCTTCTAGATCTACGCATTTATATTTCAGATGCCTGAATTATAAGATGATTTCAGGTAACACTCACTACTACACAAATGATTTTAGGACACGGTGCCCAAATATTAACGAAGGCGGGCACGAAATCCAACCGCCTCCAAAAAAGCCAGACTATTAATGGAGGCGGTCATTTTTATTTGAGGAGGCGGACAAAAAATAACCGTCTCCTAAAATCAATTTACGTTTAAGACAACCGCCTCCAAAAATGACATATTATCGGAGGCGGCTGAAAGGGACCGTGATGCCTAAGAGGGGGGTGAATTAGGCAACTTAAAATTCTACTTCTAACTAAGGCCTCTAATTTCACCTAGTCAAAACCTATGCAGGAAAGTAATCTATCTAAATGTGCAACTACGGTTTTGCTAGGTGTGTTGCTATCTCTATCGTAAAAGAATGATGCAACATAGGTTCCAATCCTATCAACTAGCCTATCAACTAAGCTAGGGAAATAAAGCACACAACCAAGTTAGCAATGTAAATGTGGAAGGTAAAGATAAGGTAGAGGTGCAAACTCACGTCGACGACTCTGGTATTTTTACCGAGGTATCGAGAAGCGCTCAAACTTCCCCCTAGTCATTGTTGGATCCTCTCGCAAGGAATCCCTCGCAAGAGCCAAGCTTCTGGTCGGATAACTCCGTGGATAGCCCCGGGCCTTCCCCACGTGCAAGTGGGTTTCCGGTGTGCCTTCCGACAAGTCTCCCCCGGATCGCTCTCCGCCGTCTTCACTATCAAGCTTCTGGTCGAACCGCCGCGGGCCTTGTTCCCTTCGATACACGGTGGCAGCCACACCACAAACGCGGTTGGTGTGATCTCGCAAGACTACAAGCCCCTCCGATGTACAACATTGATGCGTGCAAGCACCGAGTGATAAGAGGTGTGCAAACCTCACTAAACACTAGACCTAAACCTAGAGCAAGCACATAAGCGGTGGTCTAATCAACCTAAGTACTTCGTAAAGTACCTACGCATATCACCTAATGAATCACTAAGCACTATGCAAATGGAGATCACTAAAATGGTGTATCAACACCCTTGGTACGTTTCCTCAGCTCTCCACACTCAAATGGCCGATTGGGGGTCTATTTATAAGCCACATAGAGAAAGTAGTTGTTGGGGGTGAAACCCAACTTTCTGCTACTGACCGGACGTTGCTGTCGTTCTGACCGGACACGTCCGGTCGTCCTGTCCGTTGAGCACGCACGTAGAGATCGAACGCACTGTCGAGTCCGGTCATCATCGACCGAACGCGTCCGATCGCATTTGCGTCGCTCTGGAACCTCTCTGGACATGATCGGACGCTGCACTTTGTGCGAACGGTCATCCAGTGCCACTGCGTCCGGTCCTCACTGAGTTGTTGCCGCGATGATGAATAGTGAAGTCCGTACGTCCGGTCACTGCCCCGCTCAGCGTTCGGTCACTGCTGCTGACGCCTACTATTGCCGAGCAATTAATCGGACGCGTCTGGTCCTCATAGGGTCGCGTCTGGTCACCTCTATGGAGCTTGTTTCTTCACGATCTTGCGTCCGGCTTAGTTCCTATCTTCGTTCTTGGGCTTTGCTTGATATCTTGGATACTCTCTTGTGCTTATATGGTCTTGCTAAAGGTGTTGATCATCAGATCATCATGTCGCCTTCGTCCAAGTCACGTTTGCACCCTATTGAACTACAAAACAATTACTTGCAAATTTATTAGTCCAATTTAGTTGTGTTGGTCATCAAACACCAAAATTTAAAGTAAATGGGCCTAGGGTCCATTTTCCTTACAGCGGTCGTCTTAATACGTCCGCCTCCTTAAATCCATTTTTGGAGGCGGGCACACTGTAAGGCCCACCTCCAAAAATACTAGCCTAGCTTTGAGGCCCGTTAGCAGCCCACTCTAAACCCTAGCTAAAAAATGCAACCCACCTCTCCACTTCTCTAGCTCTCTATCCACTTCACTCCCTCTCAGCCGCCACCCCAGAACACAGCGCCTCTCTGCTCACGACACTCCCTTCCTCCCTTCTGGCGCTACCTCCTTCCCTCCCTCTGTCCCGGCGTTCCCTCTCCGTGGTGGCACGGGGCCGCAGGCCACGCGGTTGCAGTGGTGGCGCAGGGCCACGGGGCTGCGTGGTGGCAAGCGGCGTAGTGGCCGTGGTGGCGAGCGGCGCGGTGCCCGTGCTTGCGAGCGACGCGGTGAGGAGCAAGGGCACGGGCAGCGGGCTCGATCCGGCGGCGCGGAAGGTACATATCCCTCTCTCTCTCTCTCCATCTCCATCACTCTTCTCTCTCTTCCCCTCTTCATCTCCCTCACTCTGCCCTCTCTCCTTTTGCAGATCCGGCGACGGGGCTCTGGAGCAGGGGCAGATCTGGGTGACGCCACGACAGCAGCATGGAGGGCGACTGGCGTGGGCGTCGATCTAGCTCTGGGGTTAGGATTGGGCTTGCCGGTAGGCTCGAAAACGGGCTCGCCGATGGGCTATGTTTTTTTGTTTTTTTAATCTATTAACTGAGGCGGGCATTTGCAAGACGCCCGCCTCCGTTAATAGATTAACCGAGACGGGTAAAGCAACCGCCTCCATTATTCTCCATTAACAGAGGCCTTTGATTGGAGGCGGTTGCAATACCCGCCTCCATTAATCTGTTTTGCCCACCTCCATTAAACTCTATGTAGTAGTGACTCTTGTACAACCAACTAGTGCAAGTAAACGGTTACTTTTGTGATTTGGTGTTCGTCATTGTTCATAACATATCAATTTTTGTCCTTATCGACTATAAAAGTAATTATTAATTATTAATTGTCTTTGTAGCGACACATATCAGATTTTGACAAATTTAGGGTTTTGTCTAACCGTTTTTTTATTCTCCGAAGCGAAAATTACAAATCATGCATACATAAATTGCAAAGAACTAAAATTAGAAATTTTTAATATAAAATATAGACAATAACTGTCGCCTAAAAATAAATTAAAGTTCAACGAGCACCTGGATTTTAGCGAGTTTCCTAAGGCCTTGTTCGGTTAGTTAGGATTGTACCCGGTAATCATTCCAGTTCAACAATAGTTATACAAATTACACAAGCAATCCAGCTATGAATAATTCCAAGCCGCCGTTCTCTAGGAACCAAACACCTGAATGTAATCTTGATATACAACGCTACATTCCTCCGCAAAACATGGAGTCGAGCACATGGTGACGGCCTCACGACCGTATCTTCACCGTGCCGCATGCAGGGCACAGTTCTCCAGAGACAAAGCACAGAACATGATTGATACTATATACACACATGATCTGACCTGATAAAGTGAAAGTGTTCTTTAGTGGAGTGAAATGTGTTTTTAATCCAGGTGCAAATCAAGGTTTGAGACTTGTGCTTAATTGAAATATCTCATGATAATAAGGAACCACAGAAGTTGACAGGCTAGCTAACAGAGGGAGAGAGACAAAATGTTGTCTTGGAGGAACGCAGGGCAGGGCACGCTGCACGCCATATTGGAGATTTGGAGTATACTCCTATATTCTAGTGCTATATGTTAACTTCAACTCATCGTGATCTCCGCAATATATTGTTACTACATTCGCAAATCGATTGAGCTCCAAACAGCCAGGTGTGGCCAAATGGACATCGTGACGCTGTCCCTAATCCTCGTCTTCCTCCTCATCATCGCTCACCAGGAGCTACTACACCGCCCCACCATCGCCCACGCCCACCAAGTCGACGGCGGCGGCGGCGGCACTCCGGCTGCCACCGGGGCCATGGCAGCTGCCGCTCATCGGCAGCCTGCACCACCTCCTGCTGTCGCGCTTCAGCGACCTGCCGCACCAGGCGCTGCGCGAGATGTCCGGCACCTACGGCCCGCTCATGCTGCTCCGCTTCGGCTCCGTGCCCACGCTGGTGGCCTCCTCCTCCGAGGCCGCCAGGGACGTGATGCGGACCCACGAGCTGGCCTTCTGCAGCCGGTACCTGAGCGCCACCCTGGACATCATCAGCTGCGGCGGCAGGGACATCCTCTTCTCCCCCTACAACGACCGCTGGCGCGACCTCCGCAAGGTGTGCATGCTGGAGCTCTTCAACCCGCGCCGCGTGCTCTCGTTCCGGACCGTCCGGGAGGAGGAGGTGGCGCGCCTCCTCCGCTCCATCTCAGACCAGTGTGGTGGCCATCATGCCGGCGTCGTCGTCATCAACCTCAGCGACGGCATCTGCCGCATGGTGAACGACGTCGTCGTGCGGACCGCCATCGGCGACCGGTGCAAGCACCGCGACGAGTTCCTGCACGAGCTCGACGAGGCGGTGCAGCTCACCGGCGGGTTCAGCCTGGCTGACCTGTACCCGTCGTCGCGGCTCGTGCGCCGGTTCAGCGTCGCCGCCAGAGACATGGGAAGGTGCCAGAAGAACGTGTACCGCATCATCGAGAGCATCATCCATGAGCGCAAGGTGGCCGGCGGACCGAGACGACGACGACGACCTCCTCGGCGTCCTCCTCAGGCTGCAGAGGTAAAGTGGCCTGCAGTTCCCTCTCACCAACGAGATTGTCAGCACCGTCATTTTCGTAAGATCGTCAGATCGATCTCATCACTTTGCATTATCTTCTTCGCTTTTATAATTTCAGTCACCTTCTCCCTCATCAACAAGATCGACCATATTATATACAAATTAATTGTAGGATATTTTTGCTACCGGGAGTGATACGTCATCAACAGTGCTAGTGTGGGCCATGTCAGAGCTTGTAAAGAACCCACGGGTGCTGCACAAGGCGCAATCAGAGGTGAGGGAGACCTTCAAGGACAGGAGAAGCTAACCGAAGACGACATGTCCAGGTTAAGCTACCTGCACCTGGTGATCAAGGAGGCGTTACGGCTGCACGCGCCGGTGCCATTCCTGCTGCCCCGGCAGTGCCGAGAGGCGTGCCAGGTCATGGGCTACGACGTGCCGAAGGGCACCAAGGTGTTCGTGAACGTCTGGGCAATTGCGGACGACAGGTTTTGGGGTGACGGCGAGATGTTTAGGCCAGAAAGATTTGAAAGTAGCAGTGTTGATTTCAGGGGCATTCGGGGCCGGCAGGAGGATCTGCCCTGGCATCACGCACGGGCTGGCCAACATGGAGCTCGTGCTCATTAGCCTCCTCTATCACTTCGACTGGGAGCAGCCCGGTGGCGCCGGCTCTGGAGACCTTGACATGACAGAGGCCTTTGGTATAACGCTGAAAAGGAAGTCCAAGCTCATGCTCAAGGCCATACCTCGTGTTAATTAGTTCATTCATGTCAAAACTAAGTAGTTGTTCTGTGCTATGATGCATGGATAAAAAATAAATGCACTTTTTTCCACTTGCGCTTCTAGCCAATGGATCAAAGTCACTGTCTAGTTGGGTGCAATTGTAGTTTCCACCAATTTGGAACCACCACATGTGTATCGTTTGATATTTCAGTTTCGATGTAATCCATTTTGTTGCAAAGGTTCGCCACCTATTTAGTTCGGTTACAAAAGCAGCCTACAGAGTGCATTCTTTAACACCAATTCGACATGTTTCCATCTATTTGGACCACAAATGTAGTTTTTGTCAAAATCATTATATGCTTCTAATAAGACTCTAAGGGCCGATGAAAGTGTAAATGCGTTAAATTGCAATACAGCCAGTGGTGTGGCTCGTTGATGTGTCTTTGTTGGGTGTCCTGTGTTAATGTCTCAATTCAATCGGTTGGTATAGTCTTTGCGGCTTTTAGTTGCTATTTGGTTGTTGTAGTTACTCGACCCCTGGAGATCTCCAGCCTGTTCGGCTGGCTGGGCTGGATCGTGGATTATTTACTGTTGGCTGGTTTGGTGTGAGAGAAAAATACTGTTTCAGCTTATGATCCACGATCATATACGATCGTTTACGGCCTGCCGAACAGGCTGTTTCATCGCTCTGTTGTATTTATATTGTTTGGTCTAATCTGGTTTCATCTTTTTTTAATATTGTCGTCAACTGTCGTGCATGATCTGTATAAAAAAAACTTGACTCGACTAGATTGACCTACTGTGGCTCTACATCGGTGAAAATAAGCAAAATCAGTTGAGTGTCATATATCCGAGGTGGTTTTGCAACAAAACAATTTAGTGGGGGGTCTCTAACTCCAAGTGTCATATGAGGTGGTTTTTTTGTAATTTTTTCCTACAATATAATTTTCTAAGGGCATCTTCAGCAAGGACGTGAAACTAATGCATGGTTTGATATGGCATTCGAAGGAGTCGACTCGACCACTGGAGGAGAAAAGAATCCATTCATCTTTTTGGAGTCAAATATTGGTGAATAAAAGACGATTTTCCCCCACCTGCCAGGCAGATTCGAGGTTGAGCCACACGGAGTGTTGCTGGTAGATGGAAGAAGCAATGACACGCTGCATATCTCTGACTCCATGAGGTCATCAGAGCGGAGATGTCGAGCACGAATGGAGAAGAGGCATGAGTGGTTGTGCACCTGATGTGGAGCAGCTCGAGCTGGACATCAGGCCAAGGTAGCCTGGCGGATTTCTAGGTCATCGAGGCATGCGAGGTCTGTTGCATTGGCACATTTTTTTTCTCTATATACTACCACATTCTGATTTCAAGCTCTTGACCATATAATCAAGTACCAAACGCCTCCAATTGTAAAAAAATTGATAAATTTGATCCTCGGGTTGGTTTCAAAGGTGTTTTTCTAATTTTTAAAACCTATAAAAATCTTGTTTAATCTCTAAAAAATTATAACCAATTTATTTTAAACCAGGAAAATACGAAACCAATAAAAATTTGTTCATAGAAATGTATCTATCTATTGGTGATCAACATAAAGTAGAGTGCAAAAACGATAGTTTAAATACACAACATGGGTAAGTACAACTAATGAAACACTAGGAACATGGACGAATAAGATCAAAATAACTTCAAATAAAGCACCAAGAGATAGATAACCTTTTTTTCAAACAAAATGGTACGAGTTCTGTATAAATTTATTTAAAATAAATTATTTAAGAATTTTTAGAGAACGACCTTGAAACCAGTCGAAGTACCAAATTTGTTTGGTTTTCGATAGTTGGAGGGCGCCCAGTACCTTATTTCACATTTTAAGTTTGAAAATCGAACAGACATACAAGTTAGAAGAGGTTGGAAAATAGACTTCATCCTCATATAAATCATACATCTGATTTGTTCCGTCTACTTTGTCGTGTCGTAATTTAGCCTAATTAATTAAAACAGGGTTGTTCTTTAATTTTGGACACGGTGAAAAGAGCCGCAGCCACTTTCCCTTTCCCCTCTCACAGACGATCACTATAGCTGCAGCCATTGCTACATTACACTATTGTTGAAGCAATGGCGTTTAGTAGGTTCACATATTGTTGCAATACACTATTGTTAAGTTTGAAAATCGTATCATCGCATGGTGCCAATTTATTATCCTCTCCTGGTCCCTGGCTCCTCCACAACCACGACGACGATGCACAAAGCAACCGAAACCAAAATATCAAGATGCGCATGCAGATACTCCGGGCAAGGACAAGTGTACTGTTACATACGACCACCAGGTCAGCGTCGTCCTTGCACGCAACAGACATGATGTAACAGCGCTGCACGTACGCACCAGTGGGCACCGACCAACAAATTTATTTAAAATAGACGCATCAGCCAATTTCCAGCGAAACAAACAGGGCCAAAACCATGAGAAGGATGAGGCATCAGCATTTCTGCTTAATACCTTGGCAAGAGTGTCTACCGGCTTCTACCAAAAAAAAAAAAGAGTGTCTACGGTGTACTGTTCACGACTTGACGTGCCGACGTCCGGCCTTGCTCGCGCTACATGCTGCGGCCTGCTGGGCTGGCAAGAGTCCACATTCAGCAACCGTCTGTGTCATCTTCGTGGTCTCGTGGATTATTGAAACGAGATGGGCTTCTGATCCATGCAGGCTTGGTATATACAGTGACAGGCCTAGGGCCGGTTTAGATTCCATTTTACATACTTGAACTTGAATTATCGCTAGTTAAGGTTTTCTTCTTTTCAAATTCTAACAAACCTCCCTCCCTCAACATCTATAATTGCTCCTCTTGTAAGCACACCCTATCCAACCCAAGTTGATGTGGTTCATCTATGTGCGGCACGCACACTCTGCAAAAAAAAAAAAAATTGTTTATATTAGCTACCTAGCTTCCCGCCCAGGTTACACAGGTGGTTTTCATGACGATTTCGTCCTCTTTAGTTCAATATAACAATTTCATTAAATACCTGATAAGTTTTTACAAAAACATATATTTTCACTTTTGGAAAGTTACAATATCATACTCATAACTTTTGTGCATAACATTTTACAGTAGAAAACCTATCACCACAACTTCTTATCATAACTTTTAATATAGTTTTCTTAGGTAATTTCATCTACAATTTATCGTGAAAACTTTTCTAAGTTACCTTTGCAACCCATTTGTTCATAATTTTCAACGGACAAACACAATTTCTGAACATAAATTTTCTAATAAACTTCTATATAGTAAATTTTTACAAATAACCCCTCAAAAAAATTACAAATAACGTAATTTATGCATGTAATAAAATATAGATAACTTATCCAACATATTGTTTTATGTAATTTGTTCCAGACAATGTTCTGGATCTAAGAAAAGTTTGTTCATAGTATATAGAATAAAAATTGGATATGTTAATATAAAAAATAAAAATAAATAAAAGACAAAGGTAAGAAAACAATATAAAAAGAAAAAAAATAAATTTGTTTGGTTTCGATAGTTGGAAGGCATATGAACTGAATTCATAGTTTATGGTTAAAAATCAAACTGATGTATAAGTTGCAGAATGAAAATTGGGTATAAATAAATCATACATTTCATTTTTGTTACGTATGACACTGTCTACTTTGCCATGTCCTAATTTGATGTAGTTAATTAAAACGGGTGTGTTCTTTAATTTTGGACACGGTGAGAAGGTTAACGTGAGTGGCCGCAACCGTCCAGGGCCGGGGTACCACCCTGACACAAGCTCACAAACATATTTATGGTCCGTTTGGTCCGTTTGGCAGGGCTTCAGATTTGGCAAAAACAGCTTCACCTCTGGCTCTTATGCTGGAGCAAATTCTCTTGTGGAGCTGAAACTGTTTTGTTGAAACGTTGGGTAAAACAGCTCCACCTAGTTGTTAAAAAGAATGAATGGTCTATTATCGTGGTAAAACCGCATAATCTAATGCTTCCCATGAGTACTTGTCTTCCATTAGACACTAAGTAGTCAAGGGAGGACACCAAATTACGCAGTTCTGTCGAGCACACCTCAAGGAAGAACCCAAAAATCTATATTTTTTCATCAGAATCACAAATAAGAGAATAAAACTTACATCATTCTTAACCATTTCTTACATCACTTTACATGCAACATCAGAGTATAATATTGATTATTATAACAGCATAATGTAATCAGGTTATCAGAGTTACGAACAATTTAATTTAACAGCGGAATATAAACATGTGATCAGAGTTACAGCAAAAATAATTATCAATTCATGACATGAGGAAGCATTAGTATATAAGCTATGACAACAGATTATAAAAACTTTCATTTATAAAAACATTTAATGAGAGTTATAAATAAAAACTATGATCGCAGCGTAAAGGAATCCTCTTTGAGCCCACCAGGAGGACTCCACACACAAATGTCAGCTGTAGCATCTACCTGTCACCTGCAACAAGGGCAAATAAAACCCTGAGTACTCAATTGTACTCAGCAAAACTTACCTGACAGGAGGAAAGAAAAGACTCCAAGGATATACAAGGCTATCTGGCTTGTGGGTTTATTGCATCTGCAGGAAGCATTACTAAGCATGCGTCCTTATATTCAATTTTATTAACAGTCATCATTAGTTCATTAACTAACCATTCTATATAAGCACCTATGCTACTTTCAAGCAGGTGGTAAGCAATCAGAATTATTTTACCATCTTTTATCTTCTAGTTCTTACTACGGTGCTAGATTGTAGACAAGTCGTACCGACACGGCGGCGATTCGTGAATCAATGTGCCCAGCTGGGTACCCCGAAACACACGCCCCGCTTGTACCCCAGGCACAAGTAGGACGAACCCACTACCCTCCTGTCATGGGGTCCAGGTCTCCGTCTAAACTTGGACTCCAAGCCCCCGTCCCTGAGTCCCGGACTCAGTGCGGTATTAGGACCTCCAACCCAAAAACCACCATGAAAGTCGGTCCGAAAAGAGTCAGAACCCATGACAAGAGAGTAACAAATC